ACGTATTTCGTCTTTGTCGGCTGGGGGGGAGGCGCGTCCCCATCAACAGCGAAGGCGCGATCGAAATCGTTCAATGGTTCGTCAGCTGGATCCGCCGGCGCGTGAGGATTGGCGGCTTTTTGCAGTCGCAGCGGCAGTTCAGGCGTTGTGAGCTGGATTGCTGCCGCTGGTGTCTCTGTCAGCTGTGCCTGCTTAGGGCGGTTGCTGGCAAACCGGTCGAATGACCCTTGAGGAAGCATTCGTTGCACGCGCTGTTGCTTATCCTGCTCAAACTTCTCTCCTGCTTTCAGGTCACCGATGCCCATCTGTCGCCATTCTTGAAGTTGGGAGATGGCTAGGCGGAGGTTGTGCTCGTATTCCAGACCCTTGTTGACATCTTCAAAGTCCTTGCAATTCATCATCCGTGCTAGTGGCTTTGCTTTGCTCAACAAATCTCGCTCTTCCTTCGACCGTTTCTTATCTAAGGCAGTGTTCTTTCGGTATTCGAGGAGGTTGTGCTCGAAGAGGATCTTCTTGCGCTCTGTACGCGCTGTCAGGCGGGAGTTGTAGATATCAACCACGGTCATCTTGAGCTCGGTCTCTGCATCTGGCTCGCCGTTTTCGTTGAGTCCAGCCCCAGGTTCGAAAGTCATGTGTTGCACTGCTTCTTCGGCATCGTTTAGGAACTCGGTCTCAAACTCCAATCGTCCCGGCATGTAGCCCTGCACTTCGTGACATGCCGGTACACTGGCAGTGGGTTTCTGCTTTGGTGTGGTTGGAGGCGCTGCCTTGGCTGCATCTTTGCGCTCTTCAATGCGACGCTTCTTGCGTGTTTGGAAGTCCTCTTTGGAGATCGAATCCTGCAAGCTCCTATCGTCTGGATCGGCGCGGGTTGCAAGCGGGAAGTTCACGCTCTTCACATATGTGTCGTAGTAGTGGTCTCGCACTTCATCCTTGCTCCGGTAACCACCAATGTGGTCCGCGATGTCTGCCCAGGAACCCAACCCATAGATTTCGGCGCCTTCCAGCAATAACAATTCTTCATCGGCACCCCAATCGTCCTGAAATATGGGGACTGAGTTTTGTTCGATCACTTGGAATGGATGTGTGGCAGGGTCATGGTTTTTGGAGTTCTTTCCGGCTGAGAAGCAGGGGACACAGAGGTCATATTCGGGGCAGGTGAGATGCGAACACGAGATGCGAACCTATGAGATGGAATCGCGTTAGTCTCTGAAGAACATTACAGACCTTCAAGCGGTCATAACACAATCAGGTTGAGACTTACTGTTGATGTAACATCGATAGAGCACACATCGCAGTGGAACTTGGTGCCGGCCTCGGTGCCGCGCGATGCGGTCTTCTTGCGTATCACACCCATTAGCCCTCCACCCCTTTCATCCTCCGATTTGTCGGGTACTGAATCGAGGGCAACAGACTCAGAAGTCTGAAAACACTAGAGTTGAAGGTGACGAGTTGAGGTGTGATCTTCCGGGGTAGGTGTCTCCGCACCTCGGAGCGGGGAATATTCCGAAGCTTGAAAGAATATGTAAATTGACACGGCTACAATCCCAGCTGAATTTCAAACTCTCTCGTTCTGTGGAGTCAACTGCTTTGATTGTTAATGCCGTGGGGGAAGTTGATGCGTCGTTAACCCTTGTGGCGGAGCAGTGGCTGAGGCTGATTAATTACGGTACCTTTATGTAACCCATCTATGACTGGTTTGACCAATGAAACAAGTAAAATCAGGTAATCTATGGTAAAACTCGTATTTTAATTACAGGGGGAACTTCCCCTCTCTCATTCTCATTTGATCTTCGATCTCCCCGACTCTTTCTTATCCTTAGTTGTGCTTCCATACGGATTTCAAAAGCTATAGTGGTGGTTGTCTCTGTCTCGACTTCTTTCCTTTTGCGTGTGTATTATCTGTGTCCTTGTGTGGCTTCTCCTGGTATTTTGAGGGTCACATGTTGAGTATTGGGTGATTCTTTAGCACCCTGCACACACGCATTGCGGTATCTTGGACTTTGATCTCTTCTTCTCGATCTTTTTTTTTTTTTTTCACAACCGCCACTATGTCCTGGAAGCTCACTAAAAGTATGTTTACTGGCAGTTGGTCTCCCTCTCTTCCCCCCTCAATACCCCTCTCTGCATTTGCAGTGAAACGCCATAGGCATTCGCTAATTATACAACTCGTCTTAAGAGTTGAAGGAGACGCATCTGGCACCCTTGACCTCATCATTTGGCCGGTCGTCGTCTACTTCGACGATCAAGGGTGACTCAAATGGTGACGAGGCCCTGACACCGGTGGCCTCTAACCCGCCCTCCGCCACCCCATCAACGAACGGGATCGGTATGTTATTCTTATATTCAATTCATATTACTGGAATCCTCCCTGGTAACTAATCATTCTATCTTTTTTTAATAGCGGCCTCAGAGTCTCTTGTCTCCCCTCCTGTGGCGCCTGTGAACCCAGGAATCCTTATTGTGACTCTCCACGAAGGGCGCAACTTTTCGCTGTCCCCTCACTTCCAACAGATCTTCAATTCGCACTTCCAAAATAACTCTTACGCGCCCTCTTCTCTACGCCCAAGTACTTCTTCTTCGTCACATTCAACTCAGAACCAAGCGGGTTCCTTTGTGCCATCTGGCCGACCGCAGTCCACAAGCGGGGGAATCAACGCTGCCCCCACTATCCACGGTCGCTATTCCACCAAATACCTCCCGTATGCCCTCCTTGATTTCGAAAAGAACCAGGTCTTTGTGGATGCCGTGTCGGGAACTCCAGAGTGCCCACTGTGGGCTGGCGACAACACTGCATTCAAGTTCGATGTGTCCCGGAAGACAGAGTTGAATGTACAGCTGTATCTGCGCAACCCTGCAGCCCGGCCTGGTGCCGGACGGAGTGAGGACATTTTCTTGGGCGCATGCAAGGTCAACCCTCGCTTCGAAGAGAGCCAGCCATATGTGGAGGATCCGAAGCTCAGCAAGAAAGACAACCAGAAGGCCGCCGCAGCTCATCATGAGCAAGGGCGTCAAATGGGTCAACAGGGTGCTGAGTGGTTGGATCTTCAATTTGGTGTTGGCTCGGTCAAAATTGGTATTTCCTTTGTGGAGAACAAGCAGCGGAGTCTTAAGTTAGAAGACTTTGATCTACTCAAGGTTGTTGGCAAGGGTAGTTTCGGCAAGGTCATGCAGGTCATGTACGTGAACTCAAGATTTACTTATTTTGCTTTCAAAATGCTAATACTCGGAAAACCACAGGAAGAAGGATACTGGTCGGATCTACGCCCTCAAGACAATTCGCAAGGCTCACATTATTTCGCGATCGGAAGTCACACACACACTTGCCGAGCGGTCGGTTCTTGCGCAGATCAACAATCCGTTTATTGTTCCGCTGAAATTCTCGTTCCAGTCGCCCGAGAAGTTGTACTTCGTGTTGGCGTTTGTGAACGGCGGAGAGTTGTTCCACCATTTGCAAAGGGAGCAACGATTTGATATCAACAGAGCCCGTTTCTACACCGCAGAGTTGCTGTGCGCTCTCGAGTGTCTGCACGGCTTCAAGGTTATCTACCGAGATCTTAAGCCCGAGAACATTCTTCTCGATTACACTGGGCATATCGCTCTTTGTGATTTCGGTCTCTGCAAACTGGATATGAAAGACGAGGACCGAACCAATAGTAAGATCTCCTCATCACTCATGATAAGCCCTACATAGCTAACCAAACTCAAGCGTTCTGTGGAACTCCCGAATATCTCGCTCCAGAACTTCTCCTCGGCAACGGCTACACCAAGACCGTGGATTGGTGGACTCTCGGTGTCTTGCTCTACGAGATGTTGACAGGCCTGCCTCCATTCTACGATGAAAACACCAACGAAATGTATCGCAAGATCTTGCAAGAGCCTCTGACCTTCCCCAGCAGCGACATTGTCCCGCCTGCTGCGCGAGATCTTCTCAGTCGACTGTTGGACCGTGACCCCGTGCGCCGCCTGGGTGCTAACGGCGCTGCGGAGATCAAGTCTCACCACTTCTTTGCCAACATTGACTGGCGCAAGCTTCTCCAGAGGAAGTACGAACCTAGCTTCCGACCAAACGTGGTATGTATTCTTTACCTCCGATCATGTATTGAATCAACATGTGGCTAACTTGATGCAGGTGGATGCCCGTGATACTGAAAACTTCGATGTTGAATTCACCAGAGAAGCACCCCAGGACTCATATGTCGATGGCCCCGTCCTGTCGCAAACCATGCAGCAACAGTTCGAGGGATGGTCGTACAACCGACCCGTGGCTGGCCTCGGTGATGCAGGCGGCAGTGTTAAAGACCCGTCCTTCGGTAGCATTCCGGAGTAAAGCCTCTCACCTTGTCAGATTAGATCGAGAATGCCCGGTGCAAGTAAGAGAGAACAGGAGGTTCATAGAGACCATTTCCCTTTTTAACTGCCTATATGTCTTTCATTAACATATCGACCAACCTTGATCTTTTCCTTTTTCTTTTCCCCTTTTTTCTTGCTGTGTTCGTCATATTGTTCGGTTTCCCATCACAAAGGAGTCTGTGGCATCTTGATATCGGAGTCGCTCCTGATCTTCGAGACGACATTGTTTCTTCTCGTTTCATACGGCCGTTGAGCGCTTTGGTTTGATTTTCTTGTCTTGTTCGGTCATCTCCCTTCCATCTCAAGTGTTCATTCTCTCCAGGCAGGTTCCTTTCTTACCCTTGGTTTCGTTGCTTTTCTCAAGCGGTCATCGTCTGCGCCCTTGTTCTGTATTCTCGATAAAACATTACAATGGACAATGCCAAAACAGGTTTGCATCATACGTCTTTGACTATGTTCGTCACCAAGTGAGATGGATCACGTCTCAGCAGGTTCAGATGCGTAGTAAATTCAATTCATATAAACTGCAGCAACTGTTCCACGGGGTGGAGGGCTCTTGATTCTTGGTAGCTTGTGGGTACACGCAGACCAATGGCCCACCTGAGCACTGTCTTGTATTCTTATTTAGACGTATATCATTAATGTAACTAAATACCGGGCCGATCTACCCTATAAACCACAGATGCGACATTAAGGTAAGCCTCGTACTCAACATCCTCATCTCCATCCTGAATATCATAATGGTAATGACCTCCTTTGGTGGTCCCATTTGCGCCAAAGCAGTGAGTATGCTCCATTCTTAACCCCAATCCTTCCGGGTCACTACTGTGCATCACAGTCAGGCAGACTATAGGGGCCTGGAATATATGATATGACAGCCATTCCGTTTCTAACTGCTTGCGATCTCGAAATGGCAACTGATCTTCCGGGGGAAAGTCAGGCATGATGTGAAACTTGGCTTTCCCAGATTTCAAAAGAAAAACCCCACCAAGACTGATTGGTTTGGAATCCCCATAGACCTTTTGCAAGCCATAACGTAAACAGTCGGTGAAATTATCTTCTCCCTTCCGCGCCTTGGCATTGATTTTGAGAACAGGGCCAGTGTCTCCATCTGATCCGAAGAGGTTGACCATCAACGCGCAATTTGTACTCGATGCACGATCACATAGCGGCGTATGATCTCGGTCTCTCTGGACCTTGATCACCCGTGTGCCATTGTCGAAGGTCAGCAAGCTTGGATCATCAAAGCTGGGTGCTTTTTCGCTTGATCTCCAGGATAGATTGGGCGCCAGCTCGGCGTTTTGACCAATATCCTGAAATGGAGCGGCGCCTGCCCCAAGAATAAAACCTGCCATAGGGGACATTTCCATATCTTGGGCCAGAGAAACTAGCGAATATTTGGCATTGAGGATCGGTCTAGGGAAGAGATGTTGTTGTCCACCTATGTCCGCTATTCGAGGATTTCCGGAAAGCCCAGATGCAGCGAGGTTGAAAGGTGGTTGTTCAAGGTCTGGACACTCAGCAACTGTTGCACTTGCAGTTTTAAAATTGGATAAAAGGGCTTTCTCAATCACAGCTGCAAGCTCGTCCAGGGGAGGGGGGTCTCGTAGATGCTTTGTCACAGCCATGTTGCTACACTTTTCAGGGTTAACAAGATGAAATCCAAGGGAATTTGCGTTCTCGAAAAGATGAAGGTACAAGAGGTGCTAGCGCAAAGGGTGAGAATTTAAAAATCATGCACTCTCTGGTGATTCTCGTTGGTGAGGAGGTACGAAGGGGTTGTTTGATGCCTGGATGCCTGGCTTTGGCCCGATCTCAGCCCGGCCCATTAGGGCTCTAGATGGCGGAGTTTCGAGGAGACGCATTCATGTACTCTATTTCTACTTTACGTTTACGTTCATGGAGTGTAAACCAGATACATAGGCACCAGGGAAAATCCAGTATAGTATACATGTACAATAATCTAGTAAATCAACCAAACCACGGGAAATAGAGGGAAACATATTGCTTGTACCTAGGCATGTAATTTGCTCCAGAGACACATGACAGCGCAATTACAAATAAGAAAATGAAAAGAAAAAGTCGGACACACGTTAAGACGCCGCTCGCAATCAAGAATGAACTGACCGGTCAGCCAGAAAACAAACGATCAACCTAACTCTCCTGAAAAGTCACCAAACAGAACCCGGTGCTTTTTGCTCGTTTACTCGGCTTCGGCAGCATCGGCCGCGTCCACTGCAGACTGGCCGGCTTTCTCTACTTCCTCATCCGCCTCGGGTGCTCCGTTGGTTGCACTCGCGGGCTCTTCATCATCGCCGTTGATATCAATCAAGGACTCTGAGGAAGGAGGCTCAGGGACGGCACCCTCCTTCTCTAGGCGAATGTACTCCTCCCACTCGGGGAAGAGGTCGTCATCGGTAGAGGCGACATCGGGCGCACCGGGCGGGACACCGATGAGGCGGGCAACCTTGGACTTGTTAGATTTCTCTAGGGATTCCTTCCATTGGACAACGAGTTTAGGGGCGCTCGAGGGCTTGTAGGTCTGGGCGAGGAGAACTGCCTCGGCGATGCGGTTGGTCTGGATAAGAAGAGCGATGCAGCCGTCGATATCTCCCAGAGACCACAGAGTGGAGAAGGCAACGTTATGGAGGCCAGACTCCGAGGCCTGAGCGGCCAGGGCCTTGAGGCCTTCACGGTTGTTGCTGGCAGTGTGCAACAGTAGCAAAGAACCTACATCCTTGGCATTGGTGAAGCACTCCTGGGCCAGAGCAAGGTTCCAACCGGCCAGAGCAGCATCACCAACAATCTTCCACTTGTGCTCGACATTGGCCTCGCGGGCAATGGTGAGTGCGGTTTGAAGATCGCTCAGCGCAAGGGCCAGTTCGAAGCGGTGCTCGGGGTCCGTGGCGACTTCCAGAGCCATTTCCTTATATCCTTGGCCTTCTAGGAAGCGGGCGACCTTGTTCATCTGGTCTTGGGGCACATCCTTGAGGAGCTCAGATGCCATTTCCATATCACCGCGCAGCACCACTGTTTGATATTCAACCATGCTGAGAGACAGGCCGAAGGAGACGGCGTTGACGTCCTTGTCGGCAAGGTAGATACGGCCATCCCGGGGCAGGTAGCCAAGAACATACATCGGTTGATCGAAGTGAGAGATTGTGTAGGTCTGGTCACCGACAAGGTAGTTCAGGCGGTTCGTAGAGTTGGTGTAAATGAAGCAATCTCCAACCCACTGTCCAGTACGGACGGTCTCGTTGATTGTAGCAACCAATTCAACAGCCGCCTCAACCCCATCCTCGTCGGCCTCACCGGCGTTCAGGCCGTTGATATACTCCTCGCGAGAGTAACGGAGAACGTAGAAATCATCTTCACAGGCAAGGGTAACCAGTTCACCAGATTCAGACCAGTAGACCTGTGCATGTCAGTTAGCATGATTTCGAAATACCACGCCAGAACGAACAACTTACGGATTTCGGGTCAGCCTCAATTCTCCGAACCAGGCTGCCAGTCTCCCAATCAAAGAAGCCAATGCCACCTTGACCCTTCACACCCAGAAGAACACCATCAGACAGGCCCTCGGCTTGGAACCCAACATCAAGACCGGCGCTCTGCTCTTTGAAGTTCTTGAAAATCTTGACACTTGTCGATGACTCGCGAATAGCGTAGTCGTTGCTGTTGTCTTTCGCACCCCAGGCAAAATCGAGAGCCTGCCCAAAGGCCTTGTTTCTCCACGCCAATGCGGTGTAGATGATGTATTCTCCGTCACCACAGACAGAAACGAAACGTCCGTTGGGGGAGTGAGACAGAGTCTGTGGGTACACCTCGCACTGTCCCAAATCCTTTGTTGGTAGAGAAAGTGGTTCACCGTCCTTGACAGTAGCATCACCACCCTTGATCACTGACGATACGACCTCACTGTGTCTCGCCCAGATAAGCTTACCAGAGCCATCCATTGAGACGGCGGGCTCTTCCCGACCCATCTTCACCACGACAGCACCATCGTCGAAACCCATCGCAATTCCCTGTCTACCCCGCTGGTAGGAAACACACCATGCTCGTTCTAGACCATAGCTTAATGATTGCTCCAGGCGGTAGGTGTTTGCGTGCCAAATTTTAATCGTTCCATCTTCAGAACCCGAAATGATCACAGGGAGTTCGGGGTGATAGCAAGCAAATGAGACATTGCTCGTGTGGCCCTCGAGGGTTGCAATGAGGGCCTTCGTGGTGTAGTCCCAAATCTTGACGGTCTTGTCGTCGGAGGTGGTGAGGAGGTATGGCTTATCAGCCTGTGGGTAGTAGTCGACGTGGTTGACACCTTTCGTCTCATGAGCTTCGAGTGTGAAGTTGGCATGGGGAGAGCCGAGGTTCCAGATCTTCACGGTCCGGTCCAAACATGCGGAGGCGAAAGTGTTGGTATCCTTCGGGTTGATCGCCATGCCCATAACATAGTGGCTATGGCCCTCGAACACTTGCACGCACTTCCAACCCTTCTCCCAGTCCCAAAGCTTAATTGTCATGTCATCGGAGGCTGTGAGCACAAACGGCTGGGTGGGGTGGACGGCAATAGAACGGATGTAATCCGGGTGTGCTTCAAAGGAGGTGATTTTTTCGGATGTGTTGTAATTGTAGACCCGGAGCTGGAAGTCATCTGAACCGCAAACAATCCAGTTCTTCCGCGCAATGAATCGACCGGCACGAACGGGGACATCGGTGAGTTCGAAGGTTTTGATGATAGACTAGAGGGGAGAAGTTTAGATAAGAGTATGGGGAGTGTGAATTTGTGGCGGATCTTACCTGCGACTCGTAAGACCAGATGTAGACATGACCTGGACAGGAAAGTAATTAGCGCATTGGACATCTCGCATACTGCCCCTCTCTCAGCATACCGCTATACAAGGTCGTCAAGATCTAAAGAAATTAGTTTGAGTAAAGCTATCGAAAGGATTGTAAAAGCTTACCCAGGGCTCTGTAGGGTGGAAATCAATCCCCTTTACCCGCTCGGAGCGGGCAAATAGCTGTCTCTGTAACATTTATTGTCAGCAATCGCTCCAATTCTGGACGTCCACCTGCGAAATCATATCGTCATATCTGCTGCAGAGCAGACCCGCAAGTCTATGAAGCATTTCACCATCTGCATTTGCGTACCTTGACGTCGAGCCGCATGTTGTGTGGGGGATGAGATGAGTGTTTGTGTGATGCGGTGTTGGGCCTGTGACAGCGATATGGGATTCCGCGAGCCGCTCAGACAGCCCGATGATAGGGAGGAGCGATCCTCGGAGCAAGTTATTAATTGGAGGAATTAAGAAAGGATTGAGATGAAGGAGAGCTAGAGGGAGAGCGCTTCATTCAGGGACAGCAATGTATGTGTCCACAAGGGATTCCCGCCGTGGCTCACCGCCTTCCAGTCGGCCTTAGCCATTCCTCTCACTTCACACCTGCCTTATTGCTTCTATCTCAGTTCATATTGACTATTGACTACTCATAATGGATGAAATTCAACACCCAGAACACCAGACAGGGGTCAATACCTTATCGTGAATACGCATGTAGTCCACAGGATGATGTCGATCCCAAGTCACAATATTCAAACATGTGATATTGATGATAACTAGTGATGTTGACCTCGAAAAAGCATGTTTTTGACCATCAACCTGCAAGAGTCGAAGACAGACAGGATAAAAAAGAGATAGAGGAGAGAGAGGAAAGCCAAACGAGACACTAAATAGACCCCCCATTCCCTCGCAGATCGTAAGTCATGCAGAATAGTGTGTAAAATGTATGTCTTTTTTGGGCTTCTTTTGTACCAGCAAAAAAACCAACGAAAAAACCAGGAAAAAAACCGGTTGGAACATGATATCATTCCCCAAATCCATATTCCAGACCTAGACAGATATCAGAGAACGCAGGGAAGAAACGAAAAAAAAGGGGGAAGGAAGAGAAGAACACCGTCCCAGGACGCCCAGTAATGCCGCGCCACATAACAGACCGATAGAACGCAGGCGAGAGAAGGCAAAAGAAAAAGGAAATAGACATAAAACTCGTGATTGAGGAGGGGAAGAGAACCATCCGATCGATTATCCGATTGCAGTTCCAGGAAGGTAGCCATGGGTATCTGAGCCCGAGTCCAAGCCAGAGCCAGTCAACCCAGAACAGAATCAAGACCAGACCGAAAGCCAAACCAAACTCCATAAACCTCTCTCTCCCAATATCCCATTCCGCACATATTTTATCTCAAAGACTCAGCTGATCAATGCTCCCCACCCGCCCACTCCCGCCAAGCCTTCCCCCGCCCTTCGTAACCATCCCGAGTCGATAAAAGCGCTCTTCACCAGCCGGTGTCCTTCCACCAATATACCACTTCTCAGGACCGATGGCATCGCGGAACCCGCCCGAGCCACTGGAAGAGTCACTCCCGCGGCGCTGGCGGTCTGCAGCGTGGTTGATCGGGATGGGTGTTGAAGTGGATGATGGTGGTGTGGAGGGGAGAGATGATTGATCGTGGTGGTAGTGGTGTGAAGGGGCAGGACTTGGGCCTTGGACTGGACCGGTAGGTGCTGTAGTTGCCGAGGATGTGGGAGAGGATGTGTGGGTGTGGTGGTGGTTATGGTGGTTGTGATTGTGGTGA